TTAAGCAAGCTGTGATTCTGCACTCCCAGGTTCCAAGGGGGGTCTGGACAGGAGATTAAGCAAGCTGTGATTCTGCACTCCCAGGTTCCATGGGGAGGGCTACCAGGAGGGGCTTGCAGAGGGCAGCCACGCTGGAATGACTGAAGGCAGGAGGTACGGAGCGCTCCACGGAGCCAGGATGGGCTCAGAGGTAAATGGGGAAACTCTTCAGCACTGGAATCTTCTTGTCATTAGAAAATTACAGCCACAAAGAAATTTTCAAGCTGAGGCCTGCTGTGTTTCATTGCTCTGTTTGTGTCCAGGAGGACCCATAAAACTGCTTTAAAGATGCTGTTTTGAGCTGGAGAGTTCAGGAGATGCAGTTGTGTTTTGTTTATTTGCTCTATGGGGCTTCGGTAATCTTTTTTCTCAAATTTATGGCTAAAGGTCCTCTGCCCCCCAGTACCATCTCCTGTGGCCCAGCATAGGGAAAAGCATGGAATCTTGAGACATGAAGAATCAGTTCTGTGTGTTTTATGCACCCTTTGTTAATTGTGATGCTGGGAGGTTTTGTGGCACTGTTCCTGTTCTGCTCTGTGTTCTGGCACACCCGGATCAATAACCATTCCTAGGAATTCAGGGGCTGGAGACTGGTGGGGAGGCGCCTCAACTTGTGCCATATGTCAGTTTGTCACAGCTACAGGATGGGAATGCCAAACATCAGTCTCCAGAGCTGGATGGTTTGTACAAAATGGTCCTGGACAGACCATAAGAGAGAATTTGCTCTCATCTCCTCATACTGGGAAAGCTCCAGAAGGAGGCAGGATTAGACACATCAAGTGAGAGGGTGGCTTGGGTAACCTTATGCTTGTCAGCCTTTCCAGCTTGGAAACATGTTTGTGTACCCATGTTTTAGGTTCCTGAAGAGTGAGATACAGTGTACTGTTTTATTTTTGTTCCACTGTCTATGTTCTGTGTTCTGTGGGGCTTTTTCTTTCCCTCATGACTGTTTTAAATTAATTTTAGATTGGTTGCTACCTTGGGTTTGCACTGACGTGGCACTGTCTGCTCCAGAAAAGCACAGAGGAAAAGAACAGGTGAGGTTAAAAAGGCTTAAAGTCATTTCACTATGACTTCCATTCTTCTATTTGTATCTTTTTTCTTTGGTCCCATTTTGATTAATCTGTCTGCCAGAATTCCCCTTTTTTTTTTTTCTTTATTTTGACCAGTCATCTAATCAGAACTTTTGTTGATTCTTGAATATTTCTCAATTTTGGACTAGTAAGTTGAAATGGAAGCCTTAAATCTGTCAATTATGCTTAGTTCCCAATTTGGAATAATGCCTAGTTTGGATAATTTCTTATTTAAGAATATGGAACACACCTGACAATGGGCTGAATGGGAGAAGTGGAATTAAAGAAGGATGGAGGGCTGGGATTTGTGCTCTGGATTATTATATATCAGTATAATTTTCATATTGATGGATTGAAAAGACTCCTGTGTGAGGATCATTGGGTTTTTTTTTGATTTGATTAATTTTGTTTTTTCTAGCAAAAAGATAAAGGCTCTGCATTCATTAATAGGGATGATTCAGAAATTCCCATATGAAGACCCCACTTATGATAAGCTGCAAGAAGATCTGGAAAAAATCAGAGGAAAATTTAAACAGGTTTGTAGGATTAAGTTGTAATTTTAATATATAAATTCACTTTTGAAGATACTTTGTTTCTAAAGCCACTCCAAAATTTTGTGAAGCAGTTATTGCTCCCATTCTGCAATCATAGCAAAATACTTGAAGTGAGATAAATTAAGTGAAAACCTTTGATAGTTGAAAATTTCCCAAGCAATAACAAATGCAAAATAAAGGAAAAAAAATTCTTTAAAAAGCAAGTTCGGAATAATCTTTGACAATTTGAATTACAAGTGGGACCAGAAGAAGAGAAATGGAGCAATTGGGAGTTTTGTTGAACATTCTTCTTGAAAAACAGACCCTTTGAAACACTTCTGTGTATTTGTTTTTTAGGTTTGTTCAATGCTAAATATTCAGTCAGATTTTAGAATTGATAATGAGAGATCTTCACTAACATTTTGAATGCAACAGATGAAGATAAACGAGGATGACCAAAGCAAAAAACCATTAAAAGAGCAGAACTGGAAAAGTGTCTTACCTACTTTTATATTTTAAAAAAATCAAAGTACTGAAGAGATGTTAAAGGGGAAGTGAAAAGTCACTGGACTTGCAATATTATTTAACATTTGTTATCTTCAAGTTTTATTTAGGCTATTACACACATTAGTGTGTAAATCTGTTAAATAGAAATATTTGTTTTAATTCTTTGCTAGTCTTTTACTGATAATTCCTCAAAAGGAAAACAAGCATTTGCACAGTTTCCTTGTTTAAAGGATGTCTGTTACTTAAAAATCTGTGTATGCAGATCATTCAGTTTGCACCATGTGTACCTGCTGTGGGTGAAGGAAAATAAAATCAATTCCCTGCAGACTTTGCAGCAGGAAACATTTTTGTGGGGAGAAGATGGAATGACAGAGGAGGTCAGAATGCAGAGAAGGATGAAGATGGCTGCTCAGAATATGGAATTTGCACCTGGATTTTCCAATAGTTTTGCAGAATGATGGGAGGAAGGGAGCAAACTCCACAAAATTAACTCCTCCCTACAAGTTACCAGTTTAAATGGTGGGTCAGATAAACATGACTGCCAGAAGAGCTGTGATTCTCATTGACTGTATTTGTTAGTACCTCTTACACAGACCAGGTTTTTATGTGCCAGCCTTGAAAAGTGACCACTCCAGTCTCATTCCAAATCAAAGGATGCTGCAGCTGCATGCATTGAGCTGTGTTAACTGAGAGGAATACCTGGAACTGGCTTTGGCTTGGGCTGCTGGATGTCTTTGCACACCAGTAAGGAATTCCGGAGTTCCTTTCATCAGCTGTACCCTGTGTGTGTGTGGCTCTGCCTGCATGGCACAGTTCAGCCTCATGAAGACAGATCTTTTTGGTTTGTTTAACTGTCTTACACATGAATTTTGATACACACAGGCAGTGTCAGAGCCATCTAGTGGATGTATGTGATTGCAGAAGCTCACAAATATTTCTGTAGGTTAAAATAGACAGTACAGAACGTACACACTTATGAGAATTCTAATTATGTAGAGAATTTCTTTGCAATGAAGTAACACTGAGGTAGGAATTAATTTTTACTTGTTTCCTCATTTGTGTAAATCTCTGTAAAAGCAAGAGCAGGGTTGTGAGAGCTCCAGGTGGAGCATTTGTTTAATAGAGGTGTGTGATATGTGAGTGACAAGCCAAGGTGCTGCTCCAGAGATTGTACCAAACAATTGTTTTTGTTCAGCTCAGGAGAGAAAGGGTCTTTAGCAGTCAGGTGGTGACTGGTATTTGGAAAATTGGTTTGGTGGCTAATTTTATTGTATTGTTTAGTTCTATTTTTAAAAAATAATATTGTAGTAAATTATTTTATAAATACATGTGTATATACTGAACTATAAGTATTGTATCAACCAGGATTTCCAGCTGGGATATACCAAGTTTAGGCTTATCTGTTAGGTTTTTAATTTTTTAATTAGGTCTTTAATTAAGTTTGATTTGTGCAAACACACAAATGTGTGTCTTCTTCCATGAGTCTGTATTTTTCTGAATATCTGCTGTTTCACACCTTGTGTGGGCCTGATTTGGTTTATTAAATGAGGTACAGTTCAAAATTCTGTTGTATGTATGTTGTTGTATGCTTTCTTCAGTACCATTTTTTTTTTGTTTTCTGCAGTGATTTTGTGGGGGTTTGTGTCACGCTCAGTGCTGTGGCAGTGAAACATTCCCAGCATTCTGTAGAGGTGTTTTTGTACCTGATTTACAGCTGTGGTTTTGGCTATGCTTGATTTATAGCCCAGGTTACATCAAAAATATTCATTTGTCTTTGTCTTAGGGTCACAAAGATATAGAAAAAGACACAACCTTGTACATTATGATACTGGTTATTAATAAAACAGGACATTGAGATTGTGGCTTGGTGCTGATTGTCCAAGAAGTTCGAAATTTTTCAGAAGTAAGACTTAAGAATATAACTCCTTATTCATTCACCATCCCTACGTATAGCTCAGTGGTTAGGGAGGAATGTTTGAAACATTTCACTCACCAATTTCTCACTTGCCTGGACTGCATCCTGGCTTGTTTTGTCTCTTCGTGATCATCTATCATCTGAGTCTGTCAAATATGGAATTTTAGCAAAAGATGGATACACAGCTCATTACTGCTAGGCTGCTGAAGTCATGGCAATCCAGAAGAGTTGTAATTTTCCTTTCTGCAATGTGTGATGAGTACAAGAAATAGTGAATTTTGAGGCATCAGCAGAGAGGTAAACTTTGAGTGCCATTTGGTAAAGTTCCCAAGCACAATTCTTGTTCTACCTTCATTATGCAACTTCCTTTCTATTTCTTGTCAGCTTACTAAAGGTGATCAATTCCAGCGTTGAGTGAACATCTATTATTGACAGAAATGGGTGAAATAAGTCAGAAAAAAGAAAAAGAATCTGGGTGTGCAATTGTTTGCTTCAAAACTAACCCTGTAGAGGTACTCTGGCTCATTTGAACCCTGATCTGTTTTTCTGAAGCAAGGTTGTGATAATTTCCACATGAGATTAAAATTGAAGTTTTAATTTTCCAATAAATTAGTTTCAGCATTTATATAGGTTTTGGTTTTTGAAGATATGCAAGAGAGAGTTTGAGCCTGCCCTGTATTTATGAATGCTTATTTACACTTTGGCTGGAAGTACAACTTCCTGCATTGGAATAAAGTTCTTGCTTTAGAGCAAGAACTTAATATTTCTGGTAATGTTTTCTAATTCTTTCTATTCTTGGTGCCTGTTGAATAGTGCCCTTTGCAACTTCTTACAGCCATGGCTTCTGGTCTAATTGCAGCCTAAAACTTCAGCTTTCATAGTTTGGCAAGTAACCATGAAGATTCTCATTTTACAGTCTGCCAGAGTTGTTTTTTTAATGGATAAAGTTGTGACAGTACACATTCCCACAGAAGTGGTTGTATCACCAGGGAAAAAGGGGATTTGGGAGGTGTGAGAGGAGTTCAGCAGGTTCCCAGTTGCATGTTGTGGTGTCTGGGAATGATGTGTAAAGGCCAAATGGAGCAAAGCACTGCTGAAGCACTTCAGTGTGTCCCAAGGTTTGGACCTGCAGGACCAGCCTACCCTGGGGTGATAATAAAAATAATAATAAAAGCTCTGTGTGCTATTTTGTAAGCTTGCACAGTCAGTTCATTTGTAGCTAACCTGAATATCTCTTTGACATTACACTGGGAATGCTCCCACCTTAATCACTGGAGTGTTTATTCCATAAGTGTGGTAATTAATTTTTTTCAGCATTTTTCATGCTAGAATTTTGTAGTACTACTTATCAAATACTGCACTACTGGGTGGAAGTAGACATGGTCACTAAGCTCATCTTGGTGAGATGAAACATGAGAGATTTCCTAAACCCATGGAATATATGAAAAGTGAAAAAACCTAATACATTGTTTCACTTGATTCCAAAGCAGTTTGCTGCACAGCGTTTTAAATTATTTTATCCTATTCTATAACCATAACTAATTGAGCACTAGTGCAGCATTCTGTGTCTGGTTTTGGGGAGATTTCTGAATAAGAAATTGCATAAAATTTTTGTCTTGGAAAAATTAGAAAGCTACACATTTCTAGTGCAGAATTTGTTAGGATGACATCTGAAATAGTGTCCTCCTGTCTGATAGAATTTTACTGATACTTGTTCCTTAATAAAATGATGGCGTTTTATTTTAGCAAAATGTTGAGCAGAAAGGAGGTTGATTATTCAGTCCCTGCATCCTGACTGTGCATCAAGCAGAATCAACTCATCATTTGTCACTGTCTTCCATTTCTGATTTTAACTCCCTATTTTGCTGCTTTATCTCAACACTTTTTAACTTCCAGCATCTTCAGGATTCTGGGGAATAATCAACACTATGTGGAATCTTCCTTGATAGTAGGAACTGTGAGTCAGCAACCCTTTAATTTTTTTAGTTGCAGCTATTGTTCCATCAGCAAGCTTTGCTGCTATTGTCCACTGTTTGTCCAGCTCACGTTTACTGGACTGTGGGAACGGATTAGGGTTTCATGGCTTTTTTTTTTCTTCTTGCATAAACTCTTGATCAAAGACATTCCTTGGATGACAAAACACTGTATACTGTGTCACACAGCCCTGACCAGACTGCACGAACAGTAGTTTAAAAACACATGCCTACATTGTTCTCTAAACTGGCCTGCCTTTTTTTTTTTTTTTTTTTTTTTTAATTTTTTTTTTTTTTTTTTTTTTTTTTTTGCAATGTATGTGCAGATATTGAATTTTTGAGAACCCATTTACCTCTGTTAAAAACACACACATACACAGAAGTTATTGTTAATAAGCACTTGACAGTTTCTGAAAGTTAAAAAGCAAATTACTCTGAGACTAAGAACAGACAGAACAGAATGTCATTTCTTAAGAGAGCTAGGAGTTGTATCTGCAGTGTATTTCCTTCCTGAGGAGACCTTGGTTGTGGGGCAGGTAGTCGAGTAGACTGGAAGCCTAAACCCACATGGATTATGGCATCATTTGATGTGTCAAAGCCAGAACACCTGAGTAGAGTAGAGAATGACTGGAGCACAGTTTGGGACTGCATTAACCTGCTTCACCATAAGTACATTGTTAGAACCACATTTTGAGAACCTGGTTTATTATAGTTTTATGTCCCAGCCTTTTTTAAGTTCTCTTATGCATTAGGAGGAGGACAAGTTTCAGAAAATTGCAGTAGCATCATTATTCCTCAAACTAATGAGAAAGAAAAAAATGGTGTTAGCAAGCATACTTTTTCAAGGAGCCTTGCCTTGTGATTTGCATGAAATACTCCTTCAGCAGAAACATGGAGGAAAGAGACTCCTGAAGGCATGTTGAGCAGGTTTACAGAGGGATTTAAGAACACAGGAGGGCTGAATTTTGGTGGTTGGAAACCACCAAAGGAAGGAAGGAAGGAGAGAAACGATGTTCCACAAACACGAGGCTTTGCATTGTCTGACTCTGCAACACTGTTGAGCACTGTCATGCAGAAGTGAAGGCAGATGAAACTTCTTTCATTGACATTGGAAAGTCATATCCATAAGAGAAGAACTCGTCTGATCCTTTGCAATCCAAGGGTCTCCCTGGAAAGAGAAACCTAAAAAATATCTGTCTAGTGGACATGTTTTCTAAAAGGAATTAAATGGTCAGAGTGAGTGACTGAAACGGCTACAGAAATACTAAGTCAAACCTACAAAATAAAGGTATTACACTTAGAAGAAATAATGTTTACTTATGAGTATATAATTTACGATGTCTTCTGGAAATTTAACAGCATATATTGGCTGAAGCTTTACTCTTCATATTTAAAATAGCCAAATGTAAAGAACTTTGGTCTGTGAGTGTTCAGGAAGGAAAGAAAGCTGTTCAAAAATAATACCCTGTGAGCAATCTGGAGTGATACAATCTAATAAAGGGGAGAAATTAAACATAAAAAAGCTCAGTTGCCTGTTGCAGACAGTTTGGCATCAGAGGGTGGCTCAGGACACCAGGTCACTGCCTTGGGCTGGTTGAGGGGTGTTGTCACAGTGCCCTGCTGGTGCTTTCGTGGGCCTTGGGTGAGGATCTCCCCTCTCGGCCCAGCCCCTTGGAGACTGCTGCTAATGCTACAAATCACATCCCAGCCACAAACAGCCACAGATGTGGTGACTGTCACAGGAGACCAGGCATCTGTGGAATATGGCTTGTGAGGGAATTTAAGCCATATCACAGGGATGCCATTAAGCCAGGTGGGAAGGATGAAACAAAAACACTCTCCAACGTAGAATCTAAAATTTATTTTCTCAGCAGGAAAGGATGAGTGGATAGCAATTTCCATTCTGTGATGCACACCCTACAAGCACAACTCAGAGCTCTAGACCTCCGTTCCCCACATGGATCCAGAGGAAGATTCCTTCTCTGGCCAATTCATGTGTCAGGTCCTGCCTTGGAGCTTGGCCCCTGCATGCCACAATTCCTCCTTTGGCTCAGTGTTCCTGGTGCTGGTAGAGATCCATACCTGTGAATTCCCTGCAGTATGAGACCTTTTAATACCTGGTCTTCACACAGGCAGAAAGGAGAACAGATCTAGGTAGGGCTCTGCAGGTGCTATAGGATCAATAAGAAACTATTTCTGGTTTCACTCTTAAATGTTTATGACAATCAAAAAGCAAATGGGTAACTTTTGCCTTCCTCCTACGTTTGGTCCTGCTTGGCCATAAAGAAAAAAATAAGAAGTCTGGCAATGTCCCATTATCAGTGCAGTCCCGTTGACTAATTTGTTATCCCTTCCTCATCACTTGATTGGAATACAGTGTGGGGTTCAGTCAGAAGACACATGGGAATCTCTGCTGGCCATGCCAATGCAATTACTATGAGCAATTATATTTGTGGGATCATAAAAATACCTTGTTTGTCTGAAGAGATACATTTCTCATAAAAAGATGCCAACAGGAATTTATTAAAATTCATTAAAATGCCATCATTTATAGCTTTATTGCCATTGTCCCACTGTAGGAGTCTCAGAGTCCATGTGCATGGGTCATTCCTGTTACTCTTTTAAAAACAACAGCTTCAACCTTCTCTTTCTTCTCTATCTTTTGGAGTTTTCTATCACTTAAAATGCCAGCTGTGCTTGAATGCAAGTGAATTATGATTTTTTTAATTTGCTAGTTCTTGTTTATTTTTTAATAAAGAGCATTTGAATTTAAGTTTTCGTAAAAGGTTCAAGATACTCAAATGGCCTGAATTCAGCAATGGAACTGGGGAAGTTTTTGGGAGGTCTGATAGAGGTTTTTCTTCATACATGTCTCAGTTTGATACAAAAAAATACAGTAGTTTTCCCTTTAATAAGCTACAGCATAGTCTAGCTGAACGTGCGTATTTTTTACAGCCTATAGTAAATTGTTTTTCTTGTTACATTCTTGTCTTTCTGCCCTTTGCAATGTGAGTAATACTGGCCTAGTTCACCCAGCATTCAAGTTTAGAACTCTGCATTTAAAGATGATGTTCAGGAGAACGAAAATGTAAATAATAGAGCTGACTATGTGGGCTTAAACCTACTTAAGTCACAACACTAAGTTTAGTAGCATTTATAAAAGAGATGGTAATGGCAAAACCGACGTAGCATGTTCAACCAAGCACAGGTTTACATTTCTCACTGGATCACTTTTTATCAGCACAAGATTTTTGTCAGAAGTCAAGATCCCCTAAGTGTGTCTTCACTTGGTTTTCAAACACTTCAGATCAGAGGGATGAGCCATCAGCCATACAAAAGAAAGCTATTTGTTCTTTCTGGGGTTTTGGGGTTTTTTATGCTGGGAAAAATGAATCATTTTTAGCCCAGACCAATTTATGCCTTGGCTTGATGTGTTTTTGAGGTCCCAGTGAGTTTAATTCAGGTCATCTTTGAGTGCTTTACACCTCCCAGTGTAACTCACTGTACAGAGAAACTGCCCATTTCAAAAGGAACAAACCAGACCCCATTTATACTGGTTTTACTTCACCCACCTGATCTGGGATTTTGCAGCTGGTCACACAAGCTTCAGGTTTCTGGCTGAAATGACTGGGAAACCACCAAGCTCACACAAGCTCATCTGGGATTCTTCTGATGCAGGTGGTTTCCCATCTAGTGGTAACTGCCCTGAAAGGAGCTTATTCTGCACTAGACAACGATTAACACATTAGAAGTTAGCTCTGCAGTTTCATTTCTCATTTCCTGTGCTGCACTCGCTGCACAGAATCAGTTGTAACGTAAAGTTTAGTCAATGGGAAACTCAGAAGGCAGATACCAAATTTCTAATTTGTGACAGGGAGGAAAAGCACTTGGCCTTTTACATAGTTGTTTTTTTTTTTTTTTTTTAAGGCAGAAATAATTTCACAGGATAAATAATCAAATACATAGGTTATAAGCTTGACCATCTCCACTGAAAATAAGCTATTTCTGCTTTGTTCAGCTCTGAAAATAATATTAATAATTGATAATGTGCAACCCCTATTTTCAGAGATATTTTGGACTGTGTATTGGAACAGAGGTTATAATTTTTTTCTCATTTTATTTTGTAATAATAGCTAATTCCTGTTCTAGGTCCAGTTCTTTTCTTACATACTTTTAGTAGGCTTTAATGTTTTTCAGGTTTATTCTGTATTCTCTTAGCTGTAAAAGCTGTCTGAGGGGAAGCCACAGAGAAGGCAGCTTAACCAACTGGTTTTTAAAACCAACTGTGTTCTGTAAAGGTCTTCTGGGACACAAAACCTTCCACCAGCAAGCATTCTGCACCATCCAACACCTACTTTGTTTTACCCTTTATTCACAGGAACTACCAAAGGGCATTTTACTATGACTAATTTCCTTTAATGTGAAAAAATAAAGTCTTCATGCAGGGAAAAAAAAATGTTTTGCTTCTTTAAAAAGACACGTTGGTGTGACAGGCAGGCAGTTACCTACCCATGGCTTGAAACACCCACAGTTTCCTAAAATAACAAAAGGTTTTCAGCTTCTAAAATGTGTCAAACCTAGAAAATGTCACGTGCTTTACTCCCAGGACCAGGGAGTTACAACCATCCAGCATTTTCAAGGCAACTGAAAAAATGTAAATTAAAAGATGACAGCAGTTGGGTTTTACCAATTTTATTTCTAGACTTTAGATTTTTTTGCTGGAAACTTGTCTGTTACAGGTCTGTTGGTGAAAATGTGCATTTCAGACCAGTTATGCCAATAAGTACAATATAAAAATGTACAAATCTGAATTGCTTTTGCTTACTACAGATTGTTATAATAATGTGACAAATAAAGCATCTCTGTTGGCACGTGAACCCACTTATCTGGATTTGGCCTTTTTCAGTACATACAATATTTTTAAAAAATTTGCAGTACACACTACCACTCAGTGTAACACCTAATAAAACCAACAAGCACTAAACTCAATAATCATGTTTGGTTCAGAGACACAGAGATGCCACGAACAGAAGTGTTTTATGAGGTAAGCAGTAAGAAATGTTCCTGAAATTTGGACAGAATGTATCCAGTCCTCCTGGGTCCTGCGACTGCTAGTAGCATTGCAATGCTTATTTATGCACTATGTAGGATCTTAACTGCATTTGCCTCAAAATGAGTTCTAATTCTGTTTTGGTTTAGCAGCATACAGGCAACAGCTAGATTATTCTTCAGCATACAACTCCGTTAGCTGGCTTATTTATGAGATTTACAGGCTTTTTTAAATTAGCATTATGCTGTAATTAAAAAAAAAACAAACAAACAAGAAACCCTAGTATATCATAACAGATTAAACACACAAAATACTTAGAGTTCCAGAAGATAACCTATCATACCAAGTGATGTGTCCCAGCTGAGGGAGAACCACATCAGGTGGCACACAAGAGATATTATAATGCACCTTTCATATATCAATGTGGCTAATAACACAACTTAAAACTACTATGATAATAAACCCCAGATCAGACGAAGAATCC